TAGTACTATTTCTAGGCGTTTATTGTATGGGAATTTCCGGTGCTCGTGAATGGGATAGTTTATGGCTCTCGACGGTTGATCAACTCAACATTCGAGGACCCTGTTCAGTACACGGTGTTGAGAATGTAAGATTCTTGACTCGAACTTTTGCTGAAGTTCGAACTCGGTGCCTGAAGGTCCTCGTTGTAATAACTGTCCAACCTAACAAGGCATTCGCGAAGCTATTTTTTTTTAATGCTCGACTGCGATAACTGTTTATCTAGTAGATCATCAAATATGCTGGTATTTTAGATCAATGATTCTTAATTTATTATATTATAGGTTACGGTGTATCGTACAGACTTGTAATTCTACCAAATAAACAATTATTCGGATAGATTCGGTAACTCTGTCTCTTTAATACGGTTATGTAATCTCTCTTCGTTTTCCTCTATAGGAGGTTTCGTAATTCGTGATACAATGGAAGAGGAGGCACTACTCAGAAAATATTTTTAAAAACGGGGACATTTCTTTAATTGACATCACTTATTGTCCCCGTTTTCAGAGATAGAAAATTGTGGTACAATTTCCACTACTGATCGTTTGATTTTACAATTTTGGTGGAATTTTTAGTTATAATTTCAAATTCATTACGTATCCTTCTCTAGTGTAACTCTGACGTTTTAATAAAATTTAGCACAGTGATAGCGCTTGGAATTCCGAAGCCAATTATATTTGTTTCAGTCGCATATGGCTATTATTTTATGAAATATTTAATGTTCAGTGTCGAGGAACCTTCGAACACTCATCGAAGATGTACTGTATTTCGTTCAATCCTAGTTCTGTCGGTTATTCAAGCATTGGACATACGTATTCCCCACACAGATCCCATTAACAAAATTTCTACCACACATTACCGTCACCTTGTTCGTCAAACAAGTAACTTCCGATTCAATCTCACCACGAATTACAAGAAAGCCTCTGACATCCTCCACTTCACAGAACTACAACGCATGCTCTGTGATGCGTGGCTGAACGAAACAATGCGTGTGTTCCCTATCTTATTCGACAGTCACAAAAATAATAACGGTAGACCTATATGTTGCACTCTTTATTCGTGGATATAAGAAAAAAAAATGCGTCGTCTCTATCTACCAAGGGGTTGAAACACAGTGATATTCATCCACGAGTATCGATGCTCCGAGCGAACCTGTTCGTGTGGCGCACGATTACTTTCGGAATCCCAGATACGAGGAGATGCCCCTAATACTCTCAAAGAAGAGTCGCAAGATCTCCTCTCTGTTGTAGTCGTTCCGCACCTTCTCCGGTCTCGTTGGCTGTCTCCGCGCGTCAAGCAAGTGCTCCTCCACCAATCGCTACAGTACAATATAGGTTTACATTTGTGGGTGCTGTACAGAGCCGTGGAATCCTTCGATATCGAGGGAATATCGTATTTCAGGCGACACTGTCTGGAGGTACTCCCGTTTAACGCTTTCACGTTGTTTGAGGGTGCAGCGTGAAACGTGATTCTCTCTAATGCTTCGTGAAAATTCATCTTGACGCATGCTACCGTCCACGAGTCATCGGACACTTGCATGTTTAGACGATAATAAAAAATGTGACGAACAATTACTTTTTTTTTTGACTTTTTTTGTTTACGTCAAGGACACGTTACGTAATCCTATTTACAAAAAACAGTGACAATCTAGAAAATTTGAAAAATTTGATGACCTTGAGAAAAATTGTTTGTCAAAGCATTTGCCCCTTTCAACCAAAAAACATTGTCTTCTCACACTTTTTTGTATTTTCAAAAACAAGTGAGATATTGAAGGTGCTCACCTTAGGTGGGAAACTCTGTATGTAACTACTAGCCAAAAGTATGGGACCAGGTCTGATAAAATTAAAGAAAGAGGAAAATATTATTCTACAAAGGTTTGATAAAAGTAATGTGCTGAAATTAATTGGAAATGATTTGTATATATATATAAACAACACGTAAAATGATTAAATGAAAGTGTGCTACAATCTTTAAGTGGCAGTGATTGGGACATCTACCGTAGTGTAGGTAAATAGCGATGAAGTTCAGTCTGTGTTACGATTTTTTATGGTAATTAGATTTTAGAATAAAGATATCTGTTGTATAGAAAATTGATTGTGTTGTAATTCTTGGAAAACTTTACTTCGTTATTTTAGTCATATGGAAAATAGTGATTCAAGAGGTTCGTTGAACACCTTTGAGCGGTATTTCAAAAAAATATAGAAGATAATGATAGGTTACACATTTCGTTGTACTTTCTATGTTCATAAAAAGTACAGTTCGAAAATTGGCAAGAAACTTGTGTAACAAACTATAGAGCGATTCAGGGGGAATCAATTGAGAGGAACTATTACGGAATGCAATATGTAATAGAACTAGTAAGGAATATAATAAGACTTTGTTGATTTCGTAATTTTTAATAATCTCAAAATATTAATTCGTTCTTTTTATACATTCAACAGTGTAAGTGTCCAATAACTTTTGGACGGGAGTGCATGTATGTACACTGTGGTTGTCGTGTCGATTGTACGAAATGGAAGGAATGAATCATCTGTCTCATCGGGAAAAAGAATATTAATCAAATCTTTTCGTAAGTCTGCGTATGTTATCTGAGAGTGTTCTATTCTTGAAAATTTCCTGTGTATGGTCACGTGATGTATTGGACTTTGATGATGAGTAGATTAGTATAAATTAATTCATAAAAACGTGTATTTGTATGAACATCCACAATCTTCTTATGCTATATATGCATAAAGAGCAACATAATTCGGACTTTCCTGAAGAAATCAATTGATTGTAATCACATAGGTACCAATAAATTGATTTAAAAATCAAAAGACATCATTGTAGAGAAATATTGTACACGTCGATATTTTCTTAGATAATTTAAGATTAGATCGTTCGTACACATGTTTTATGGAATAAACGCAGATTTACGAAACGACCTGATATTTACTGTAACAGGAGAAGACTAGACGTCGAACGTTACTATACTCGCTTCAGGGAAATTCTTTGAAGGAAATTACCATTAGCTACGTGCTACTATGTACATCTTGTGCATGTTATTCTTACTATCCGTTACGATTAAGATCTAATATGTACGAGTAATAAATTAAATGTTCAATGTATAAAAAGTCTGCAGGCGAAGGACAAAATTCTGATGTATTAAGCGTTGCCTTTAGAAATGTGCAACTTCGTTTAAAAATAGAAGAATTGCAAAGTAGGTAAATTCATTTGTTCTTTAGATTGTTCGATGTTTTTGGATATATAAGGGAAACAATTAGGTTGATGCATATGAAATCTCTCGATTTCCCAATGGCACAAGTTAAACTCAATACCTGAATAACTCAAAACCCCCACGTAACAAGACTAAAAACGAATTTAGATTTCCAACAATGGATCTCCAATTTTTCAGCATTTAATTTCTGGTTCACGGCTTAAATCCCTCTTACATACAAAAAAAAGTATAGAAGAATTTGTATCTGAAGATTATAAGATTATTCGAATTGAATGTAAAGTGTGTTCAAGGCGCGTATCCTTCAAAATCGTATGCAACAACCCCCGCCAGACTTGCATCGATTGGTATTAATTTAATCTCCTTCGAATTAACCACCGTACGCAACGATCATAACGAGGTGCAAAAGGTTGTGTGGAATTGATCGATTAATCTCTCATCCGTCCGATTGAAACTTTTGTCGTTCTATCGGATACAGTTCAGTTCAAGTTAAAGAATCATTGCCCGACGTTTCCGATTTCTTCTGTTCCCAGGTTTGAAATCCGCGTAAATAGAATTTACACGTGGATAGTGCAATCAGACAAGTGTTTGCCCCACGGTATAAATACTCGAGTATTTGTCAGGTAATCGAACATATTTAACGCACGATGTTCTACCATCTAGTAGGCACACATTTACCCACGTCTACAGTCTACTGGCTAACATTAACTGGCGATGACGAGCGATCCCGAATGCAAGAGTATCGATCGCCTCGCAACCTCGCATATACAAACGAAGAGTTTATAGCTGTTTCAAGTAATTACGTACACAGTTGCTCGTGTTGAAAATCGTTTTACCTTACTTCTGAAAATAAAACACTTTTTTTCAATCGATTCAATATCATTTAATTTATTTTGTAAACTGCTTCAATGTGAAGTGTTTGGATGTTTCAATTCTACGTTGCACTGATAATAGTTTATACAAATGGTTGTGATTTCTCTGAATTAAAATATTTCAGTGTATACCGACAAATAGCACGTAATATTATTTACTTCCTGAAGTAGTAACTAAATAATTTCATTAATTAAAGATGACATACACGAAAATATTGACGTCAGAAGACAGAACCATCATATTACTCACTTTCATTTTAAAATGAAATAAAACTTCGTCAGAATTTGCGTAATTTGTTAACCCAACAACCGAATCTTACACACATATATACGCTATATCTCACAAAAATTAGCCTGAAAAACGATTTTCAGTACGAGCAACACAAAGAAAAGAACAAATTCCAGATGAATAGTTACCTCGAATATTTACCTTCAAACATTGTGGAACTTCTTAATCGTTTACTTTGACACACACGCATATATTATATATAATATAAAAAGTACAAAAAGATGTAACAGAAACTACGATAAAATTATAATTTACATTCGTCAACGTCTTGTCCGGATGTAAATTATAATCTCGTTTCTATATAATAAATTAAGGTTATGGTCTTTCTAAGTAGTACCTAATTCGGGATTTATAATTACGTAAGGTCGCTAGATGGGGGTCTATCCGTCTGTCTGCTCTGTGTCCCTAAGCTGATACAAGATGCAACGTGCAGGCACATCTAGGGTTCACTATGCTACAGTATACCGTAATTGTGTCTCGAGTAAAGGGGTTGCCTAAGGGTCGTGCTTCTCGGCTCGTGACTGTTGTTGACTACGTGGTGGTGTTCGTCTAGGCGGTCTCTACTTTTATGTCTAAAAAACAGCGTTTTTACTTTCCGTACGGTTGATAGTGGCCCGCTGGATTACTCACGTATTGCGCGTGATTCGACGTCGGATAGTCGGCCCATTTGGTCAGATCCATGCCTGGAAGGATTCCGCTTCGACAGGGAACTCGGGGGTTTCTGTGACAAAAAGTATTATGGAATTTTTTTTTTTTTGAAATTTAAGTCAATTCTAAGAAAGCCAGTGCTTCTGACGATGGTGCCTGGGTTCGTTTGGACCATATAGATCTTGTTTTATAAATATGTTTCCTATTTATTCTGAACTCAGCAAAAGCAATAGTGAACATGGAGCACAATAGCACCACCGATTGGGGTATATCCCCTAGTGTAATTAAAAATTCAATATATGAAAGTCAATGTCGATTATTCTTAAGTGAATTAGGGATTAAGAGAACAATCGTATGATTGCAAGTAAATTAGTTTTACAATTTTCAATTTAATATCCTTTTGCAATTCTTATAGTAGATAAAGCATCAATAAGGTAGATATGTATACGTCCACTGGATGGTATTAACTACTTAAACCTTTTGTTTCGAGTTTCGTATCAATATTATCAACGCAACGATCGAGTGAAGTGACGCTCCTTTGCTCGCTTCTTCGCACGACTTTAACCGATTCTCACGGCACGATATATTCGAACCATGTTTCTATCACGAATGATGCTCAATGTATCGAAAGCAGTAGCAAAATCTTAGCGCAACGAGACAATTTCCCACAATCGTCTTTCCCGTTGTGCAATGTGACGATCACGATTCGACGAGACACACCTGTTCCCTGTACTTAATAATGGTACATGAACTGTCCTAAGAGAGTTTTAATCAAATAATGAAATTGAAGAAGCATTAAACTGTTTTGAAAGTCTCTGAAATCTTATAAATTTTCAATGTTTTGAAGTTGTTCTCTGTAACTCTACAATTGCTATTAATCGAATGGTGTTCTTATTTTTATAAATTTAAACAAAATGTAAATAACCTATCACTAATATGCACATTTCCCATTCTTTAGCCTTATATTAAATTTATTAATCGTACCAGTAAACATCCACAACTAAGTTTAATTTCACATTAAACAAATATTAAGTTCATAACAACGTAAAACTTCCCAAAAAACTCTCGAAACAAGTAAAAATCTAAACATTAAAAATATGTGAGTGGATGCTTGAGTTTTGACACATTCCAAGTAAATCCACCGAACTCAGCCACCAAACTGAACATATTCTCTGTAACGGAGCCAATAACACTCCTACATAAAAAGAGAAATCGTGATCTAAGAAATAATAAATAACTAATACACACGTCTGAAACCGAGATTTCTCGTTTTCCGGTCGCCAACGCATTTCCTAGGAAAACGAGACTTGTCGTCACTTATATGTTACATAAATACACACAAATTCTCCTCCACGTCACAAAACACGAATATTAAAAGCAATCGAACAGTCTCCATCGATTGCTGTTCAATATTCCTACTAAAATATATGAAAGTCCATACTTACATTTCGTGATCGGGCAAGACCATTGGGTAGATCTGTATGCTGTCGATCAGATCGGTATTGTCGCAGATCACTCTGGCGAGCTTCACTTTCCGAATCTCGTTCAGTTGTTCTAGAAACAAAAAGAAACAACAAAAAGTGAAAGTTGATATCCTGCGCCCGGCGGAGAAGGCGTGGACACGAAGTGTCGTTACACTTGTGTACACGTCTCGTTACGATCTGTCCTTGGATCGAAGCGGAGCGCCTGTGCTCGTGGATTCTCGGTGTGATTCGAAAGGTTTTCTTACCGTTGGTGAAGGACGACGGCTGGTTCGGCAGCTCATACCAAAATCGGTCGCCGCGACGCGAATAGCTGAATTGCGTGGCAATTACACAGGCGAAGGTTGGTCCGAGCATGCTACCCGGAAGTGGCCTCTCGGACACACCGCCCGACCAGAGATCGACGTCGGCCGGGTGTCTGAAATGATCGAGCGTGTCGCCGCAACCGTTAGTTCCGGGAATCTGGTATGGGAATCGACGAAATACACGCGATTCGAGCGATGCGTAATCGGTCGAGAACGAACGTGATTCATTCGTGAAAATTCTAAAATTAGCATGGCTTGAACTATTAATGAGACCGATGATCGATCGTTTTTTCGTCAATGGATCTTCATTCACCGATGCCCACGACAGTCTGGAATCTTGTTAAACTTGTGACAAAACGAAGATTTATGTCGATATGTCCCTGACACTCGTTTCCTCGTGTGTATTTCGAGGTCGTGTTTGTTTGGTTGCCTTGATGGTGATTATTATTTTTTAGTTAGAAGAACTTAGTTCGTTAGAGATTTACGAAATTTAAGTTAATTTTCTGGTTGGGTAGGTAACTGGTGTTTTACTGTATTCTATTATTTAAAGAGTAGTTTGAAATTAATACTAGAACTACCAAAGCAGTCAAAATGATTGGGTAGGATACTCTTGTAACGATTATTAGAATGTTACAACAATGCATTTTCTTAAACCTTTTACAAATTTTATTACAATGTGTGAGTGAAGGAATAAGCTCGTTTATAAATTTGCATATAGGGGAAAGTTGCCGAATTTAGACCAACTGTAAACAATTTGCGTTGTATGGTAGACAATATGTGTATGATAGTGGTGACTGCAATAATTAACTTAGTACATAAGCAACACATATTGTCTATCATACGATGCAAATTACTGACACATTGTTGCAGTAGTGGTCCAACCTAGGCGATGGTCCAAATTCGGCAATCTTTCCAATATTTCATAAAGAACCACACTTTGGATAAAAATGACAAATAATACACTTAGGCGAACCTAGATCTTTGTTTACTATTTTAGTCAGTCTACTCACTCGAATATGGAGCTGTAGCGTCTGATGGTCTCGTTTGGCATGGAGCCGAAGAGTTCCTCGAACGTATCTGCCCAAGGAAGGCCACAGAATTTCCTATAAAACAGTCACAATTCCTTGATTAATCAGTTGTTTACAACTTCATGTGCCGTAGAAATTTTACTAACCTGAACTCCATGTAACTTGGTATACCAAATTCACGACCACGTTGCATATTGAAGGAAACCAAATCCAGTCCAAACTTGGCTCCGGCTTTTTTGAATAAGTGATTGGTAACCTGAAATTACGATGGATAAAACAGTTAATGTTCACTCTATATTTTATTAGAAGGTTATATGAGGAAGGTAGGTACTTCTTGCGTGATGGAATCGTCCATAGCTTGAGCAACTTGGTTCATCAGTCCCATAATGTATTCGTCGAAGACACCGGCTCGATACAAATCATATGGTCTTCTGATCAAGTCTGACAGTCTCTTGGAAGCTTTATTAAAATTAACAGTTGATTAATTTTCATATTTGTTCCCTGATTTAGTAGATGTTGATCCGACTTACCTATAAATTTGTGAGCTTTGCTCCATCTTTCGACCGCCGTTGGCAGCAACGAGTGGCCAAACCTGAAGGCTGCAGCCGCGAACGCGTCTATCACTGCTGGATTCACGCTATCATCGTAGCCGTCCCAGTGTCCCTGTGAATTCAAGTAACCAGTAAAGAATCTGATAACACAAAAATCTTACCCCTATAACGCCGAGCATGAGGTTTCATAACATTTGGTTATAACATGTATAATACAGAAAGTAGAATTTTTATGGAGTTAATCTAAGGACAAATGTGACGATTTCGTAACATATGAAAAAAAAAGTAAACCTGACATTTCTAAATGTGTTTTAGAATTTATATGTTTACAAATATGAAAGTAAAGAACGAAAAAGTGTTTTTTCTTGAAATGAACATTCAGGCGTTGTGGGGTTAAATTTTGTTTAAGCAATCAGCAAGTTGCGCTAAATTCGGAATCTAGCGAACGACTCTTACATTTCTCTCGAGTAGCAGTCCAAATTTCTCCATTACGTCCTTCCCAAGCAAAATGGGCAAGAATTCGTTGTATGTGATGTGCTGAATCACCGCGATCACGATCCTTCTTGCTTCCTGGAACAACGTCTCGTCGTCCCAGTGCGGATTGATCTGATTCAGACTCTTCGCGATCCTGTTATGCTCCCTCGCCATTAAGGTGTGCATACAAGTCAACACCAATTGCTCGTTCACTCTTATCTCACCTGAAGACAGAAGTCACGGTACGTTCAGCAAGAATGTTGCCCCAGGATCTTTCAAAAGTGCGTTATTTTTCCGGATTCGAAAGTGGGACAACTGCATTCCACGGTTTGCAAATAACGTGAAAAGGAATTACGAAGGATATGATCTTCCTATGGTTATCTCATTTCCAGCGGGAAATTTATTTTGGTCGAACGAGTTTCCTTTTTTTTTCGAGATTCCCATGTGTTGTTATGCAAATATAGACTTTTTTTGAAACTAGAGACAAGCAGATGTTTGTTTATTCTACCAAGACGTCCATTGGATTTAAAATAGAATACAGAATTGTATTATATTTTACGACAATTTTTACTGTACCCAATATTAGATACTCGAGCAAGATACAATATATATATTAGTCTCATAATTTCGAAATAACGATTTAAGTGAATGTCTAAACATCCACAGTATAATAATTACAAGTGGACTACTTGTTGGTACAACTAAATTGATGGTTCAAAACGGCAAACAATATTTTTTTAATTTTAATTCATTTAAATTTTTAGATATGGCTATCGGAAATTCTGAATTTGCATAAACTTCCGCACTTTACTAATTATTATTTGAACCGATGCATTTTAAATTAAAAGTGTCCTCTCAATTTTGTACTGAATAAAAACGAAAAAATATCACGTTATGAAAGATCGAAAGCGTATATTCCTTCGATGAAATCATTTTTCATCGCACGAAAAGATTGATAGAATAATTGCATGTTTACAGGCATTGTCTTTCTGTCGATTATTGTAGAAACTTCTCCAATGAAGCCGTCGACCTTGGTTCCGGGCCACTCCCTTTCCACGCCGATAATCGACCGATCGAACGGCTATCAACGTTCTTCGGCTCGATGGCGCAGAATGCGAGCGTTCTAAGTGAATTTCGACACCGCCGCCGGCAGATAACGCTTATGACTATTATCATTCGCTAGTCAGCGGCGCGTGGCCCCCTGTATAGTTATTAATTAACGACGACGGTGGATAATTTTGTCCCGGCAACAATCAATTCCTTTCCCAATTTTTCAACGCAACGACTCATCCATTCATGAATACATCGAAACCGTCGACAGTGATTTCGACAACGATTCATTGTTCCATCGACATAGAAGTTGATTAGGAATACGCAAATATTACTATATAGAGCGGAAATACTTGGGGCATTCAGGATTGATCTGATTCTACACTTGGAAACAAATGAAAATGGTATTAATGGTACGATATTCGTTTTAGAGAAATTTATCCCTTCGTGACCCCCCTGGGTCGTTTATGGCACAAAAGAAATTATTATTAAAAAAAACCTTTTAACATTCAACTTTAAAAACTATTAGATACATATAGTAGATACTTTAGGAAGTATCACAGAATTTTTTCAGATTTTTTGGAGGCCTATAAGATACAAAAAAATAGGTCTTTACATTAAAGACCCAGGGGAGTGACGGAAGCAGTAAAAATAACTACTAAGAATACTAAAATGGTAATCTTATTAAGTTGGTGACGAAGTAATTAAGAAATTAAGTTAATTTACGTCCGATTGTAAAAGTGAATACTGATTACATAAGGAATCTCAGCTCATTCTGCACAGTATTGACACTTTTACGCAAGTCAGTCTGCCATGTCGATTAAAGTCGATGAAATGTAATAGTAGGCGAAATCGTTGTTGAAATCCCTCGATTTCAACAAGAAACCCACCTTCTCGTCGAGATTGGACGCCGGTGACGCCAACGCATAGCACGGTGCATATTAACTCCGCTTAACTGCTGGGTTACCGTACCTGTGTATACCTCAACGGACCGCGAACAGAATTGTTATGTCCCGTGCACGCACGATTATCGCGGTCGGATATGCGCAATTTTCTGATCGGTTGAACGCTACGTGGGAAAAAACTGTTGCCCGGGGACTGGTGAACGCCGAGACGAGCGTGATATAATCGTCGACGGTAAAACGACTCTTTTATTTTCACCGCTCACAATGCACCACGGTCTGCTCGAGTCTAAGATGCGGAGGGATTAGATTTGTTCCCTGTTTGTACGCTTTTAATGTTCCGACCCGCGAGTAACATCACGCTTAATTGTCGGGGGAAGATAGATTTTTCATGAACGAAGAAATCTTTAAGGTCTTCTTAAACTACTTAAGATCCATCAATGGATCCATTAGATGGTATCCGTATTATGAAGGATTAACTACATTTTTATGAATTAAAATACACTGTATTTATATAACATTTGATATACTTTATTTTTAATGAAGTTTAACTCCGATTTTATTCGGGGAATTAATTTAAATTTCGTATTTTAATGTTGAGCCTGACAATTTTGTCGTGATTCTTCAAACAGTCGAAATAAAAGTGCTAAGAAGTCGCACTTGTACGTAAGTAAAGGTAAATAATATACTTTTAAGAAATAATGTAAAAGAAAAAAATATATAACATATATTATGGTTTTAATAAGACACTCCAAAATACTTGCCAACGAAATCTTTTTCGTTCGTTCGGTATTTCAAGAATCTTTAATTATTCCATAAAGAATTTTCTTAGGTAGTTTCGGAAAAATGAAACATACTAGACGGTGCGAAGAATACAGTAATCAATAGTTTGTTATTATTTGTTAACAACAACGTACCAGCGGAGGCATTAACCTGTTCGTACTTGGGTCACTTACCCTAGCAAGGTTATTGCGAATTTGGATTTATTCGAAGTGGTTTGCAAAAGCAGGAATTAAACACAAATCAATTTCTTATTTTAACGTCTTCTGTATTTAGGTTACTTTAGATGAATCCTTCAACACTGTCTACATAGAAGAGGTAGAAGAAAGAATTGGTGAAAATCCTTTTCTATTGGGAAAGATTTTTATGTGGATACTATTCTACAGTAACAGTCGTGAAAAATGACCATTGCGGTTTAGGTGTTAAGAAATTCACACGGTGAGCTATAGAAAATGCATGAAAAACAGATTTACCTGCTTCGAAGCAGTACATCGATCGATTCGGTCTGGTGCAACCCTCGTCCGGAATGTCCAGTTTGAGCGGCAACAGATCCTTCAGCCCGTACTCCGAGAACACCGGGTTCATACGTAACAGTCCTCCGTATCCAGTACGCAGTTTCCTGAAAATGAACATTTTAGTTTACACTTTCTGTGTAATATTAAAAATTCGTGCGGCAACCTACTACACAAACGTTTACTCTTGCAACGGAAAATGTTCATAATTAAAAGTTGGAGAAGTTATTCAATATTTCACTAGATGAACAAATGGTGCGAATTCTGAGTGCAAGTAATCCCTCGTATAACAGGGTGGTTAGGTTCCTAGGAATTGTCGTATTACATTTGTGAGGTGATTTGGAACAAGTTTTTCCTTAGCAAAAATGTTATCCGAGGTTTTGTTAACGAGATATTAACGAAAAACCCCGACCAATCAGACGGGTTTCTTTTGTTAATATCTCGTTAATAAAATCTCGGATAACATTTTTGTTAAGAAAAAACTTGTTCGAAATCACCTCACGAGTGACCCATTTCAGGAACGTACAACACTTTTGTTACGCCCTGTATACAAAAAACATGATTAGATTCTGAAAACTAATAATACCATACTTATCTATACAATTTTTTGACTGTGTTATTACAGAGGTTTCCCGAATCCTCTATGTCAGAGTGAAATCGTATTATAGAAATCCCGTGTTACATAGGGTTTGCCTGTATTCAATGAGAATAAAGGGTACAAGATTTTGAAACACGGTGAACACTACGTATGGTGAAACAGATGCTATATCCGTGACGATTTTTGTCGTCATCGAACGTGAACGACCGGTTAACCCGTGACGCCATTAGGCGTCATAGAATGTTTAAGCATCAGTACGAAATAGATAGGTTTCATTGGCTGTGGTGTTCGCAGACGCGTGAAAATTCGTGTTATGGAACGCGTTAAACGACGGAGAAAGATCGCGGGTGTTGGATTGAGAAACCCGTGGATCTCATAATGCGAGCGGACTAGAAAGTGCGAGGTGCAGAATGCATGTGTATACCAGGTTGGAAAATATAGAACAAACTTAGTGCTGATTTATTGTCGCGGATGACGTAACGGACGTACCAAACAGCGGGTCTCTGAACGGTACCGAGGAGCCGAGGCACTTTGGCAGACGTGTTGCAAGTTGTGTTCGATAAACGAACGCGTGACTATTATCGTTCGGACTATTATTACGTTGTTCAGGTTTCCGTTAAGTGACGTAAAGTATGGAGCAATGATTCCCCTCGAACGGTTTATATGTATAGTGTGTTTTCGTTGTGCTCTTTAAGGCTCGATTTATCGCTGATAGTTACGTACGAAATGCACGATTGAGACTGGAGTCCTGTCAGTCTAGATTCTTTTGCTTGTTAGATTCGATAGTTTATGACGACAGGAATGAGGAAACGATCGAAATATGAGATACTCGTTGTTTCTAATACTTCCGGAAGAAGTCGATGTTGTTACTTGACTGGAATTTTTCATTAAGGAATGATCTTTTTTCACTATTTCTGTGCCATTAATTTGTCTCTGATACTATACGAAAATTTTATGAAACACTCTGAAGGTAACTCACATTAGCGAAAGTATAAATTTCCCATTATGTTTGATTATGTCTCCTTGAAATATGCTTAATCGCATTCTTATCATTCGACCGGTAAATTCGAAGTCATAAAACACTGTAATATAAGATACAGAACGAGTAGTGAAATCAATGATTCCGTCTCCACGAATTTTTATACGAATCTTACTTGTTCACATAACATATTCTCGAGATGAAAAGCGACAGCAATTAGAGAGTTGATGTGGACTGTCTCTGCGGAAGAGTTTTATTTTCAACGTTAATATTCAAAAGATAACAAGAACCTTTAAGTTGATCTTTTTGTTGATTTTTTAAGTTAACTTTCATGTTGACAAAAGTGACAAGCAGCATAAAGTAGACTCAATTTCATCTTCCACAAAAGGTCTCATTTATTCAATATTTTTTCAGTAGAATTTACTAACAGACGTCAGACGCAATAGGAACCCTAGTACAGTTACTATTTCCCAGAAGGTGTCGTCAATGAGTGGAACTTGCTGTCATACCGCACCCTCACTAGTCTAATAAAACATTAGTTTCTCAAGAAATGCAAAGGACTATCACAAATCACAATCTCTCTCCAAACAGTAAGAGTGACATAACTGCTCTCTGTCAGACAACATATGAACCTAAAAGGTTACACTTTCAATGATTGGTTGATCAGTATTTCTACAACTTTCTCATAGTGATATCTCGAAAAACACGTTTTCTGTCGCTTTTGTAGCAACGGGTGCTATATGAATATATATCATTAGTTCTGTGCCTACCAAAAGGTCAAGTCGACAAGTGGCATAAAGCAGAGTCAATTCACTTATTTTAAATGTAGCTTTACCTGCCAAACGTTTCCGTGATTCCATAGATAGTGTTCCCATCCAGCACTCCGGTGAGAAGATTAAATGGTATACGTGATCCAAGGCGGCAGCCAGGTCGAACGGCGGGGAACGCGCGAACGAAATCCATGCACTTCACGTTGAACAGCCTGTAGAAATAATCGTCTTCCGGTATGTGAATCTCGTTGCAGTAAGGATTCTTCAGGTGCGGTGGCCGATGGCAGCATTCCTCGGGATCGTTTCGGTTCAGGGGATCTGCAAGAGTCCACTCGTCGATCATATGATACCGCCGGGTATTTCACTCGGCATGATAGTGTTATTTAATTTAATTCCAGCTCCACGGTGGTCATTAACTTTCCCTGTCGATCTACCATGATACAGGAATACATATCTAGAGATCGCTGTTCTTGCGACGTGGGAAAATTCGATCGAGAGCGAATAGTGTGAAATAACGAAAGTGTCATGGATACTACTAGGCCACTCGCGAGTCCTGACTACAAATAGTTCTAATTTCTTTAATTAATATTTCTAAGACATTTTTATTAACAAATTCTCATTGTTTCTACTGCCACGAGTACTAATGAATTATTTTTTTAGACTTTTAGATTAGAATAATTCTTCATTATGCATATGTTATTTTGGTATAAGCTACACTTTATAATCGACTGTATAAGTTAATAAATTTTCGATTCCTGTATTTTGCATTTAGGATTCAATTAATATGTTATTTACTGTAGCGTATTGAAAAGCAGTACACATTTCACTACAAGGAGTTAAAATTAGGAGTTTCAGACGGTTTTATAATTTTGGAAAGCAGTGCATATCCCTAACCGAACTCGAACAGTAGACAGAAAGTAATATTACCTAATATTGATAGGTGTACCAGTAAATAATCCATTATATCTAGTAAAATTCACTATTTTTTCCTAAGAAATAAAAAAAGAAAAAATAGGTCTCTTTAATATCGATATTTTCGACTTCAAAATGACAAGATACATTTATATCAGTCTCATAATTTTGAAATAACGAATTAAGGGTCTGGGTGTTAAAGGGTTAAAAAGCAATATTAGACAGCTTATTTGTTACACCTAATACTATACTTCCAAGCTCTAATTCTTAAACGAAGAAAAAATGTTCATTCTTCATATTCCTTTATACAATAAATCACCCAAATCTCGATTATGTTATCATTCTAGGCCCATTTTCTCAAATGATTAATTATCTTCTAACCATCATTTCTACAAAGCCTCATCGCCGTCGTCAACACGAATTCTCATTGGTCGAACAGAATTCTCATCTCGTATATCATTTTTAATCCTGCGACAAGTGACAGTTTTCTCAGAACCACGCAATTAACGTTACCATAGTATCACGCAATCAACACAACCGTCCCAATGTTTCTGTTGCGTTAATTACCAAGTTCCAGGATAAATGTGCGGACGCGTCGCGCGATTTCGGCGCTGGATCGCACGATCCGTGGAAACGGTAGTCACATGATCGAGGGGGGCTCCTAGTTATCTGGACAGCAATCGTTCGCTTTCTCTGGCAGTTAGCCCAGTTTCGATAGGCGGTAAATATTCGACGTAGAAGGGCTTGGGAGCAGTCTACGACGTTTGCTATATATGAACCTTACCGACACGCTGATGTAATTGAACCGACGGCGATTGCATAATTTGCTATTGACTGAAAATTAGGACTCGGCTGCTTTCCCCGTTCTACAGACGGCGAATTCTCGGTCAGTGTACCCATTCGAGGCTATGAAAGCCATTCTGTCCTTCTTAATAGCCGTCGTAATTATTTTTCAACACTTCTCGATTCTTCGACTGTACTTTACCTTTTGAGTAATTATTTTATATATTTTTTAATCACGTTTCTGTTCTACCCTCATCTTCGATCAGTTCCAGTGACTCGAATTTGAAGGTTAACTGAACTAAATACTTGACCAAATACGTTTCAGCATTAATAATTGTTGAGTAGTTACAAAACATGAGAAGTTCTTGTCCATAGCATATTCGATTCATTGAATTAAAAGTTTATACATTCTACCAAGAAATTCCTCGAATGCCTTGTATCTATCAAGAAGGATCTAAGATCTCGAGAGTGGAATCTTTCACTATTAACTTTGCATCCCGTAGTTACAAATATCAAACAAACATTCCATCTCCCGACCTGATCGCTGATCCCACTTCATCGCTTACGTAACAAATATTTCACTTTTACCAGGCCAGAGTTAATCTGTCTATTTCTGTTTTTTTTTTTTCAAATCGTTATCAACATCTACGATCTACCACGATAAATCATATGACCGCAGGTAAGGTCCATAACTGGCCGATTATCGGTCCTGGGATCGTACCTAGAGGGGTTCCAGTCAGCGTGTAGTCGTGGTCCATGAACTGTCCCCAGGCGATCACCATAACCGTCCCCGCGTGATCGTGGTAGCCCTCGTCGGGATGCATGGTCCGCGACACGATCCGCGACAGAGGCAGATCATGACCGGTCACTGATATTCTCGGCGCCGTTAAACCGTCCGCGAATCGAGGAGTCAATATTCTGCCGGAAAACAATATAGAATCGTCATAGAAAATCGTACAATCATCGTAGAAAATGATGGAATAGTCACAGAAAAGTTTAGAATTGTCGCAAAAAATAGTGGATTGTCGCAGAAAATTTTGGGATCGTCAAAGAAAATGGTGGAATTGTCACGTGAAGATTTTTCTAAGGAATTGATAGTTCACCTCTGGAAAGGTGTTAAGGTCGCGCCCCAGGTCGGGTTCTTCAGGTTCGTGCAGAGACCGTCGTGACGTCGGTACTTTCCTGCGCGGCATTCGACGTCGCTCAGGTAAGCTGGACAGACCTCGTGGATCAGCGTCTTGGAGGTATCGATCAGGGGCAGGCTCTTCTCGATCTCTTCCAGTGTCAGTCCGTACCTATAGTGATTCAACTTCGTAATAAGCCTTATTCAATGGACATTATTAATAGACACCGGTTGCATTATTAAGTTGGAGCGTTGCTGTTCCTTTTTAGCGAGATTGTTTATGGATTGATTAAACCAAGTCGAATGTTATTACTGTGTAAATTTAGAAGTGGTTCTCACGTTTGAGCAAGGTTCGAGCTGATATCCAAAAGGAGTTCACCGACCGTTGCCAGATCCTCCGGTCGCCACATTTTGGTTTTGGGTTGTGCCACATCTGTATTAATCAATTTAATTGACTATGTGAGCATTGATATGCCAGCAGAACAATAATTTTATTGATAAACTTAAATAAAGAAAATCTAGAAAGAGACATTTTGTAACTCGAAAAAATAAGAAATTTTATCAAAGTCTAACAGAGATATTCTTTCAGAGAAGTCTCGATTTATATTAGATGTATCGATGAGTAACCCATTATTTTTTACCAAATCGAATATTCATAATTCATAAATATTCAAAAGGATCATAAATCGCCAGAAGAATAATTATTATCAAAGATTCATCTGGACATATCGGATACACTTACTGATGCGTTTCCTGGCTTCGACGTAGGCGCGATTAACGGCGTTGTAAGTGATGCATGTCTGCGATCCGCCGGTCGGCGGGCTGAAAGATGAACGAACAAGAATGAAAGTAACCGCTTACTCTCGATCTTCGAACGCGAGGATATCGTTTACAGCATCCCAGTCTTCCCTCCCCCTCCGTCTTTCATCCCCATTTTTGTTTCTCTTTCGAGTTAATTACCTAACTGACAGGCAGCCTACTTTCGTGAGAAGCTAGGCGACAGCACCTACGCGAGCCACGCATTTATGCGTCTCTATGTGTTCTCAGATATTCTGTATCAAGGTAACCCGAGAGTACCATACGAACCGTGGCTTGCGTACCGGCGAGCGCACATGAATCGACATATCCTGTTTCTTGCAACGAAATATACTTAGTCATTGACGTGCCACTCGTGGCTTTTACCTTCGAAGGTTGACCCGACGTGGTTTCGTCTTCTTGCTATCAGATAAGCTGCGGGTACGAACATTTCCTCGTTTAAACCGCACCACACGGTGATCGACAAGAATTTGTCGTTGTTTTGATTTGGAATCGCAAGTTTCGGAGGATGATGTGGTTATGTTAGAAATATTAAGTTTGTAAGAGACTTCATAGTCTGTTAGAAGACAATATGGATTTGTCACTGAAAATCGGGGAATTGTTACAGAAAATCGTGGAATGGCCACAGAAAATCGTGTAATTGTTACAGACAATAGTAGTATCGTTACCAAAAATCATAGAATCATCACAGAAAATAGTTTAGGCAATAATTTGTACAATAGATGACGATTTGGTGTTATTTTCATTTGAAATAGAAGGCTTTAGAAGATGAAGTTGTTATGTTAGAAATATTAAGTTTGTAATACCATGACGGACCCTATTCTTGATTATAATTCAAATCCTGATAACTTTTTCAGTTGTGTCACTTTTCACTTGTCAGCTTTAATATCCTCTTAACAATATTTATTTCAGACTTTCAGCAATTTCATAGTGTCTTACAATATTTACCACATATTTTACAAGTGTCTTAATATTTGAGCGGGAATGTACGTCTTTCATTCTCTTTGTATTTTTTTATTCTGTGATAGGACAATGTGAAATAAGGTACTATGTGAAAAAACACCATATACTATCTTCATTCACTAAGAAAAATGTTAGATAACCCCTTCATCATCTGAAGCGTACAATTATTATCTGGAGGCTTTTTCCCGTTTTTTAAACTTAAGTGCACCTACATTCATTGCAAGGTTTTCACTAGAATATGATTAGATTTTACTCATGTACTAGGATTGTTTAGAGAGGAACAGTACAAATAATTTAATGCATCCTGTTGTCCATCAAAATTTGTGAAAGTATTAATTGGTAGAATCTCAGGTATACGTAGAATTTCGTAACTGAACTGAAACGCTGAAACATTTAACGAGGAGTGGATTTGCTCCATTTGATTAACTCTTAAGCGATTTAGACAACAATCGTAGAGCTTTATTAAGATTCCTGCGGCTTACATGGTGTTCGTAAATTGTTCCTGTGCCCATTTCTGCTTGGACATATTTTCCCACAAATTATCCTGTCACAATCGTTACTAAATGAAGTAATGGGCGCAGGTTGAAAGTAATCGAGGAGTCGTTCTGAATTCAATTACAACAGAACGCATTTCCCCAGGCAATTTCATTTTGTAATGACTGGTTTAGTAACTGTCGCGTGTCTTATAGACGTTGTAGACATAGAGATCAACGTACTTTGTTCTTTGCACTTAAGAAAATACATCGAAAAAGTATTATTTATGAAAATAATTTTCTAAACTACAATCTAATAATCCAAATATCGATATAATAATTCAAGTATAATAATCCAAATATCATAATCCCATAATATCCAAATACAATAATCCAAAGTATCGATAATGAATTTTCTGATTTAATGTTTAATCATATTTAATATACGTACATATTTCATCGTTCAAATAGTATTAATGTACATCAAAATTCAAATGATGTAAACAGTTCATGAACGTGGGACGCCATTCGTTTCTTGGAATTTAAGTGAATTTGTGGTTGATTGACTCGCACGTCTGCTCTCTTTGTGATTGTAACAATGAAACTACGGACACTGCTATACAATCCACGAAAAAGTAAACAGAAGGAATCCTTGAAAGCTTTCTCACAAGACAGATAACAGATTAACGAAAGCCATATGTTGACCAAGTTCCCCGTCCTTCAACTACTTTTCGCATATTTTTTGGATATTCAAAATTTCAGGTATGTGTCCTTAACGAAAATGTACATCGAACAGTCAGTATCGTTTTAGCAGTGGAACCGACTACTTCGTCGAAAAGTTTCTCTCGCGAATAGTGTCATAATAGTTTTTTTTTTTGGTTTCAGTTCCGTGTGGCTTGAGGGACCTTGCTAAGGACATGAAATTACTAAACTACTATCGTGTGGGGTATTCTCTTCTAGTTCAATCAAAAACAAATTATTTAAACATTTTTATTTTATTTCAATAAATCAGTCTACGTATTCTTGATCACATCTTTTATGTGGTCTTTTTGTTTCAATAAAGAAATTGCGTTTCCTTTTGAATGAGAGATCAATTGACGAGTGCGTGTAGCAAGTGTATTAGAATTATGAAAAATTAGGGAATATGTGGTTATATGTGTACGAAGTGTTGTTGAAAAAAGAAGAGTATGCTTTGGAACCGTGTGAACGTGTCTATGCAGATATTTTGTGTGCGAAAGCGTGTATGTTCGACTGTCTTCGACTGGAAACCTGGGACTACAAAACTGTAAGTACTTTCAATATGTTTTACGATGAATTTTGTTCATTTCGATTTACCATAAAATTTGGTATCATCCTGTACGTGTACGCAACTACTTAAAAGTTTAGAATCACTTACAACTGAAGAGCAAATGTAATTAATATAAATTCACTTTTATATGGACTAATTGATAAAATTAGACAATTTAGAACGTGTGGTTCTCCTATTAATGATTTTGTTGTGTATATCCATAGTTATATTAGATTCACGATTGATACAGTAAAATAAAATTAAGTACATTCACATTTATAGAAACAAATTTCCAAAACCAGAATTTAAACAGAAATTCAGTTTCTTTAGTAAGGGTTTGATTTTATTAAACACAGGATATAGTAACACCTTTTTACTGTGTTTAACAAGCTTTTTTTAGTTGCACATTTTTAACATTACTGTTATACTATAATTATGTATTTCACATTTACAGTATTTTATAACATCCAGTCATATTTCTATGATTAAAAAATGCATCATCGTGTCGGTTATGTGACGCCAAAACTTTGGAATTACTTTTATAAAGAATTATTCAGAAATTTTTTCACGTTCAGCAATCCCTGATGAAACCAGATAGTCGGTCGCATTAGTATCTCTATACATTTATTTGGTCCGATTGCGAGGAACCGTAGAAGGTAATGTCGCGTTTGGAACACGTTTCCCTCTAAAGCGTCTAACATGGACCATGTTTCGATGCAGCGTAACAAAATCGACCGAGGGAGTAATTTCAATGCGTATATAGAAAGTATTTTCACTCGTGATTCCACGACGGCGTTTTAATGACATTTGTACGTGTTATATAAATGAGGTAAAATCCTGTCCCTGGGATATTAAGAAGTTTAATATACTTTGTTTTGACCTACTAATAACGCCATTTGATCGTGAAGTGAGGAAAGTTTCTTTTAATAGTAGTACAGTGGGTGATCAAATTGTCAGAATTATCGAAAATTACGCGTTATTAATTATCCGATTCTGCCTAGCCGTAAATAATTCGCGTAACCCGAACGAATCGCGTTCACGAGCTTCATGTGGAAACGTTACATTGCGGAATGCTCATTGTCGGCGTCTCGATCGCGAGGAACACGATCTGTCCGTTAATTGCATAAGTGTATAGATTTCCCCGTTTCATTCAGTATCAGCTGACATAGTATCGAATATACAAGGCTGAATCGTGTCGTCGGTATCGATAGTTTGACCGATTTTTATATAATTTCTGTAACAAGTATTAAATCGTACCTCCTGAAATGATCGATATTCGAATAGTTGATGATCAATCGCGGTCAATAAACTAAATATGATCTATATTGTTTGTTGTGCTGGTCACTATTTATAACATTACTATGCTGTACTATCTTCTTACATTATTGAATTCACATTGTAATAGTTTAACTATTCTACGTATGTGAACAATATAGTATCGAAGGAATAGTTTCGAATGCTCTTCCAATATGAATTTAATTTGTTCATGGCAAAGTTAGCTGAATTAAATTACGACTCTCATGTTAGTCACGAAAAGAAAAGATCACTTTCTATGTTATTAGGAGATCCTTTTAAGAAACGAAGCATTTCCCAATCAAGAATCGATAGTTGTAGCTTTTGAAGAATTCATACAATCTGGAAACATCCACTTTTATAAAAAGTAATATCTTCCTTGAAAAAGCTATAATTGTAGGGTAATCACAAAAATTAATTTCGGATTTCTGCAGTAGATGATGCTTTTCTGATTTCAGTACAAAGCACTGCTCCTAACTAATAAAATATGCACACAGTCTGAAAGCGAACACTTCAACGTGTGGATTAAAAGGAAATTAATTACGTTTGAGTTAAATTACCTTGAATTCACCTTGTTTAGAAACTAAGTGAC